GTAAAGCCATAGGCCAAGTAAACTTTTACCAGAAGCACTCATATCAGAACACAAATTTTATTTATTCCACAAATTTTATATCCAAATTAGAGCTATATATAATCCTGGGACAACTGCACTGTTGCTTATTATCTGAAATACCGAGTACCGCACGCGAACTGCTTTAAGTCCAAACTGTAAGATCCTGTAAGTTGTGTTGTCCTTTTATAGTGACACGCAGCAATAGATTTCACATATTTCCTTCCAATCTCTCCACATCGCCCACATAACTTATTCAAATCCATTTGGCTGAAGTTGTGTGTCATTTCTCGCATGTGATGATTATAAAAGCTACAAGTGATATTATTTATGCCCCCTCCCAATACTTTCCTAACGTTTCTGATGAATACTGTGGCAAGTTTATTTGCCTCTGAAGCAACACTTGGCAAGGCATTGGTAACTCCTCCCATAGAAATTGCGTAGGAGTATTGTCTGTAGTTTGCTTTGATTGGCCAAATCATTACAAAATCAGGATACTCATTGCTGAAAATGACGTCAACTTCTGCTTCTGCTTCTGCTTTTCTCGGATCATTACGTATGAAACGAAGAAGGAAAATTCTTAATTCTGAACTGCAAGATTTAGAAAAATACTTTTGGTAAACTTTTTATTGTTTATAAATACATTTCTTTATATTTTAACTTTTAAATAAATTTTGCTTACACGAAGATTAATTCACAAAGAAAACGATGTGTCTTTAAATAATTCGAAAACTTTAATTTATGTATTCGATTCTTATGAATCAATAGAGTAGTCACCCTACATCAAGAGTTTTCTAAGGATTAAATTATAAAATATTTTTCAGAAAATAAAAAAAGGAATTACTGACATTAAGAACTATAATAATAGAAAATATAAAAAGTAAATGGGTCTGAAGGATTACAGATAAAGCTGATTCTTTCTACCCACCTTTAGTGCAAAACCGATTTTTGCTACCCTTCAGATCGTTGGTAAGTTACCTATATTCCGGTGCTACTTCTAGATATCCTGGCTAAAGAAGAAAATCAGGATATCTTTGACAATCTTTATGAAAATACCTAACAGCATACCATCAACGCCAGAGGATTTCAATAGTTTAAAAGTGTTACTTGAGAATTTTACCTATGTTTTCACACATATTTCACTGGCAATAATCCATCGAATATTAAATTAAGAACAGGTATAAACAGATAAAAATCAGAATGTATTAACCTTGATATCGAAATCAATATATAATGGTTCATAATTATAGTATATAGTATAGCTAATAAATACAAAAAGGTGAGCATTATTACCCTAACTCTAGATACGAATACCTTAGGTGTCTAAGGAATTATATTAAAAAATAAAGTGCAAAGCAAAGATTTTAAGTAAACCAAATACTCGTATAAGCAGTTCCACGATGATATGTTTTTCAATGGATATAGAGAATATAACGATGGCAATAATGAGAATGTAAACTGAATAATGAAATATCTCAAGAAACAAAGTATTAGGAAGAATTTATTCCTTTCGAAATATTATTAAATTATATAAACTATAAAAAAACGAATGAAAACAATCTGTATTTCAAGTGAATGAGGATTTTATATTCTATATAGTCTAACCTATAATCTATATAGAAGGTTAATTTCGTATAACTATAACAAATTGTCGTTTTTATTGTAATTTTAGGTCCCAATTACAATAACTAAATTGTTTTGATACAGAGGAAATTAGAAGATGGATAAAATAGTTAGTAAATAAATGAAAAAGTAGTTTTGAGTCCACAACTCCTCGTAATAATGGGTAGAAGAATATCGAACTGGAATCAGCCAGAAGCATTTATAAAGACGAGAGTCTGGTCAATGGTAATACTGGAGATATCGCTGAGTGTGTCAAAAAATGGAACCCCCAAAAATCTAAGCCTAACAAATAGATATTATTTGAACAAAATAAAGATGATACGGAATTGTGCTATCGAGAAAAACAAAGGGATACAGAATGCCTACTCTATGAAGACAGGTAGATACGTAGAGTCATGAGCATCCAATATTTGAAAACTAACGCGCTTCTGTAAATTAAGTCCATTGTTTTGCCACATGATCCTAATGGAACCAATCCATAAATAAATTAGCACTCATAGTTAAATCCTTATATTTGTTATAAATTATAACAAACTTCTTAGGAAAACACTAACACATGGTATATACATTAATGGAAAATTATTATATATTTGAAAATGATCAACTAATTTACTTACTTAGGTAACAACTTCAGTCATATACATCTCAATGGGGGCGTCTCAATGAGGTTGCTAGATTGTTCATTACATAAATTGGACCAAACTTGCATATCTGATCATCGTTGAGACTGCTGGCATGACTCTGACGTTATATTCCGATTTTTCAGATGTTCCGAATGAATACCTAAAGCACTTCTTCTGTCCAATCAGTCTGCCTTTCAAGTGCTGAAAATGTACCTATGAACCGACACCCACAATAGAAAAGTAATGTACTCCTTCAACGACTCATAAATTGGACTAAACGTAGAAATTTTAAAACAGCTTAACTGTTTAATAGTTTGTTTATATTCCTATTAAATATATTATCCAATTCCAGACAAACTATAGCTCCTCTAATAGTGATCACAAATCCACCTCAAAATGGTACAGTGATCAGGAAGCTTATAATATATAGATTTATTACGTCCCTTCGAGAAAACTCCACAGTCTACTTTACTAATAGTAAGTATGTATTTTATAAATATATCTATGGCATCTTTCCAACAAGTCACAATGTATTTTAAATTCAAACTTCCAAAGTCTTAACTTAAAATATATTGTAACCTTTTATAGTACTTCACCCACTTCGGTAAAAGTGAATATTGAGATTTTCTTTAAATATTGTCAATTTGTCAATGAAACTTGTAGACGAAACGCTTTTTTATTGCGGCCACTCTTATTGCCAATATTTGTTTATCTTAAACTCACTTAAAGGATGCAGAAAGGAAAGGAAAAGTCAAGGCTTTGCCTGCTGCAAAGCTCTCTTCAGTGTGAGGAACTGGGAAATCAATGTCAAGTAGTAGTGAAGTAGAATTAAGAAAAATGCTACTTACTATTAAAATATGCGTGTGAGATTTGAAACAATGGGCAGATACGACATCAACTGCCGGCGATAAGAGAAGTACAAGAAAGAATGAATTGTGGAGTGGGTGAGCATAGTTTATTCCAGCACGAATGGTACGAATGGTAACTGTATGAATTACAAATCAACCTACCTTCAGTTTGTGGTACAAAACTACACACCCAAGTCCATCTACTCAACCGTCTTCCCCATGTTTTAGTAATATCGCCAACTTAGTTTTTGTAACAATTTATTTCTTTTATGTTATTTTTAATTCTTTTCTTTCCAGGCAATTTAAGTGATTGTGTGCGAGTATAAAAGGTTTATTTACACAACAAACCGTTTATGTTGGCACTCCAGAGGATTTATTTTCTGACGCTCTTCCTAACTTACCACTTGTTGTTGAGTCGAACATACATTCGGGGAAGTCGTCTCATTGAGGGTGTCTTTGATTTGCCTTGGTTATGCCTTAAATAGATGCAGTTCAAGCATTCGACATGAGTAATGACACTTCAACCCGCATGCGGAAATACGAAGATAGACAGATAGATTCACTTGCAGTTTATCGGGTACATTTGGTACATTAACAAAAACACGAAACGTTAAGACACGAGCAACTTAACTTTTTCAATGGTTCATTTGATTTAGCCTTAAAATCTATTGAGGTAATTAAATTAGCGTTGAGCCTTGAGGGGAGGAGAGATAGAAACTTGGAGCTTCTAGGCCAATAAGAACTTTATAAAAAATTATATCATTGAGAAAAATCTAATTTGAATGATACAATAAGCAAATCTATCCTAATGAACATATTGACATACAAGAAACTCTGTAAATTGTTCTGATAATATATTTAAGATATATTATTTATTTAATAATTAGATATATTTAGAAAATATATTAATAAATTGTATGTAGTCAATAAAATTAACATACTTTATAAATAAAAAAAAACCAATTAGATTATTAACTTTTTTTATTAATAACATATATGCTTTATTTTTAATATAACTATAAAATAAAATAAAATACTATATATTATAATTATAATTTATTATAATTTATATTATAAATCTAATATAATTTAATATTAAAGTAACCATTAAAAATAGAATATATTATTATTCAGTGTTCTCAATTTATATTTTTCAATCAGGTAAATTGTTTATATTTTTATATTGTAAAGCGATTAGTGCATTGTTATCGACTTGCAACAATTGAAAGATCGGAGTTTCTCTCTCAACTAGTATCACTAACGAATGATTGATTCTTCCAAACTTAAGATAGTATTTAACCACTGCACTGGATTAGAGAATGCATATATATTAAACACTATAAAATTTATTTCATCACAACACTGTATTTTAGATCACAAAACTATGAAAGCTACTGACTTAAGATGAAAAAATTTATCTACAGAACAAAACAGGATTAACACAGATCCATACCTCAAACAGTCAAATCTTACTGTACATACTCTGCTCATACCCTGATCTGATGAGAGCAAGAACAATATTTTCGGTTTAACAATATAGATCAAACTGTCACACATGACTATCAGGGTAATTATGCTTCTAGAACATTATTTAATCAATAATGCTAAAAAATGATCACTTTATTAATCTCTAATGCACTCTCTAAATCTATATCTGGCATCGATATTTTTATTCTATGCAAAGGGTTGGGTTATACATATCGGTGTCTTCATTTCACAGCACTATTTTAGTGACGTGTGTTAAAGCATACTGTTGTCCAAGATAAATGATTAACCAATGGTTTGCCGTTTTACAATATAAATCGTTTAACATCCACTCAACATGTTCAAATTCTAAAAACCCACTGAAAAAATAGTAGTTATGTATTAAATTCATACCCAATCGAATGAATTTGGAGATATGGATGTGTAAGATATTTACTTTTAACTCGATTATGACGCAAGCTATAAAAATCCAAAATTATCTCCAAAAGATTCAGCACTGTAAAATGTTCCATGAATGTTTATTGATGGCACGATCCAAATAATATATTGAAAAACAATTTTTTTCCAAAATACAATGGGTACTCCGGTGCACTGATTCTCGGAGAAAGACTGTAGATCAAATTGTAAAAAATTAAAATTATATATAAAATAGAATACATGCAAATATGACTGAGAATCTGATCTACGCAATTATCTCACCAAAATGCAAATGTATATGTTTATACTGAGTCGGTAGACACAACGATTTAACTGTTGAATAGGTTCCCCTTCAGTTTAGCATATCCAGTAATGCGGTTGCGGACGAATTTGCATGAACCGAACTAAAAATGTCCCGTTTGTTGAGAGAACGATGACATAATGGAGCTTTTTTTATAATTCTATTGTTCTGTCAATACTTACACTTTAAGTAGTCGAGTGTGTGTCGTAAGTAACTTAAGTATTAGTTTTTAATCTCATATATTCTCCACTTCTTAAAAAGGATCCGAACATTTGTAACTTATCGGAATGAGATTACAATGAGTAATACAATAAACATTAACGGTCTGAGTGTTATGT